ACATGGGTACTAAGAGTAAGAAGTAGGATTTGAACCATGGTCCTATGATTCCTGAGCCTCTGCTTTTTTTTTTTCTAATATGAGGCAGTTGGGGTTAAGTGACTTGCCCAGAGTCTGTGTCATGTGTCTGAGGCCGCATTTGAACTCGGGTCCTCCTGACTCCAGAGCTGGTGCTCTATCCATTGTGTCACCTAGCTGCCCATCTCTGCTTTTTTTTTTTCAAATTACTATTCAGCTTCTTGAAGAATAGGAAATAAATAGAAAGAAGAGTAATTCTAGGAAAAAGAAAACAGGGATTCTGTTTTCTGTACCTAGAATTCCCTCACCTCTGTCCCTTTCTAATCTCTCCCCTCCACCATCTCTGCCTACTGATATTTCATCATCCTTTAAATGATGCCATGATGCTTTCTCTGATTTCCTTACTCAGATTCATAGAATAAGTAGGACTTTAGAGGTCATGTAATTGAAATCCTTTTTTTTTTTTTACAAATGAGGAAACTGAGGCCTAAAGAGGCAAAATGATTTATTTAAGGTCACATAGTGATTTTTTCCTTCTCATAACAGCATTTTGTTTGTACCTTTCATGTATTTCTCATGTTCTACTTCATATGATAGTAATTTGTGTCTTATTTCTCTTGCTAGGTTAATCTCCTCGAGGGAAAAAATGGGCTCTTACTTATCTTTACATCTTCATCAGCACCAAGTGCAATGTTCTGTATCTGTTAAACACTGAAACTTTTGTTGAATGAATGAATTATGATATGAGAAAGATAGCTGGAGAGTAGGAAGCAATAGGAAGACCTAGGGCAGGGAGTCAGAGGGATGGGATGTGGTTGTAGATTGGAAAGCATTGCCTAATGGAATCCAAAGTGAAAAGGGAGAATTCCTACCCTCAATCCTTCCATTCCTCCTGTCCCCTCCTCATTCTCTTCCCAATCTTTCTAATTTGTCTGACTCATCTGCATGTTGTAAGATTTTTGAGATGCTCCTTTTCTTTCTTACTTTCAACTTTTTCTCAGAGACCATGGTTAAAAATTTTTTTTTAGAAATTTCAGATATGTAGTACACAACAGGTACTCCTCCAAACAAAGAGAGTTTAGACAAGTTTGTCTAAAGCCACACAGCAGTATATTGGGAGTGGGTATGGGACTGGTGAACAGCTGGTGAACAGATTCATATCTAGGATCTTCCAAGCAAGTGGCCAATAGCATCATCTGTTTCATAAAGTATGAAACTGGAAAATGGCAGGGGTTGGGGTGGAGAGAAGGGGAAGGGCTGAAAGTGCTCACTCCAGTGGGACTCTTTATCATCTGGGGTATGAATGAGGTTTCTCCTTAAAGGAGCTAACACCCTCTACCACCAGAATACTGAAAGAACCTAAAATCTAACTGTGGTTGTTTTCCTCCTGTCTACCTAATGCCTCTTTCCTGTTTCTCAGCCCTTGGAGGGAAATGACTGATCTAAGAGTGGGAGGAAAGATGTGTAATTAAAGAGGTGGAGGTTGGGAGAGTTCAGAGGAAAGAGATAGAAAACAATATATTACCAGCCTTTGACCCAGTCTCTCAACGGAGGTATCCAACTTGAACCACCCAGGAGAATAAGAGTTCCCTCCACATCCTGAGGACTATGGAGACCCTCTGTGAGTAACCAAAGATAGAGAACCAGGATGAGAGTGTAATGGGAATCTTTTCTTTCCCCCAAGTTTCTGCCCTGCCTTTCCCTTCCTTCTTTCCCCTTCATCTCCTTAGTTCAGTATCTTTCTCTCTTTTAAGAGAGGTGCCCTCTTGCCCCTCAATCTTCCAGCTACAGCATACAGTACAGTACAGTACTTACTGCTTTCTGGGGTTTTATTAGGCCAATTTCACACACATATCCCATTCTTCATATTTCTGTCTTTCAGTGCTAAAGGGAATCCCTAAAATGGAAAGATGGGATGATCTCTAAATCCAAATACAAACATTAGCAGATTAAAGCAACCTGCCAATCATCAAGGATCCTTGTCCTGAAAGAAACAGGTTATGAGGCTCTCTCTTTTATCCCACTAAAAAACAATTAGCCTTATTTTCTTATTAACCATCTCTTTGGCTAAGGAAAGAATAAGAATCTGTTATTTATATGACTGTGGATAGTTAGCTTAGTTGAAGAGAGGATGGGGCTAAGGAAGTCAACACTGAAGGTTTATAGACCAATTAACTTTGGTCTTAGCTCTGCTACTAACTAGATACATGACTGGGAACTTAAACTCCCTATATTTTACTTTCCTCAGTCAAGTTAAGAACTTGAACTAAATGATTTTAGATATGTTCTCTAGGATTCACTTTTAATCACAATGCCTGGCAGAGAGACTGGGTACCCAGAGAGAATGTGAATGGCTCAATGTAAACCTATCTCTACTGCTAGAAAAACAACTGAAAGTTTATCTGTTATACACTGAGAATTCCCTTCTTGTTAGGATTATTGTGATAAGTAAGATCTTTGAATTGCTCAAAATCATAAGCATCCAGCATTGCAGATTTAATTGGAGTATCATTAGAAGTCAGAGTAGTTTTCAAGGGTTGAAATTCAGTATCACACTCAGACCTAACCAGATCCCATTTTTCTAAGTGGGGAGGAAAAGGAAAGGATATAGCCTCTTTTCTTACTCCTTAAAGGAGAGGACTGTAGATAAGTCCAAAAACTAACATATTTCCCATGGTATATGTGTTGCTATGTTACATGCATGCAGGAATATATACATGTGTGTACATGTATATGTTTATATGTGCTTTGCAGGATGCAGTAGAGGAAAAGAGAGCATTAGGAAGGAAGTCTTAGGCCTCCTAATTTCAGAGGAAAAGTAGGAGAAGAACTCAGAAAAAGGTACCCAGAGATGGAGAAAGAACTGAAACATTCTGGGAATACGTCAGAAGGGTCAGGGCTGATCTCAGAGAAGAGAAGGCTTGGCAAGAATACTTCATTTTAGGTCATTAATCAATGAATAAAATAAAAAACAATAACAACAACAAAAAAAGATCATAGGATTTAAAGTTGGAAGGGACATTATATCTAATACTCCCTTATTTTTTTAGATGAAGAACTGAAGGCCAGTGTCGGGAAATAACCTGCCCAGGGTCACACAAGTGGTAGTAGTAGTAGCAGAGCCAAGATTCAAATCCAAGTATTTTGATTCCTAATTCAGTGTTTGTTTCAGAACATTATACTTCCATTCCCTTCTCCTCCTCCCACCAAATAGATTATAAAACTATTATAAATAGTTGTAGGGTCTATAAGTTCCCAAACTTCTTTGACCTGCCACCCCCTTTTCAAAATAAAATTACTCAGTATCCCCCTGTAAATCTACTTCCTTTAACCCTTTAATTTTTTTTAAATTTGTGTCATTTCAAAAAAATATAAAATATATATTTTTTAAATTATGCATCTTAAATTTAATAATTTATCATAAATTTGTGGGGGTTTTCCTGCATTGAAATTTTGAAGTCACAATATTGTGTCATATAACTGTATAGTATCATATTGTAAACAAGTCATTACATGCACATATTCCTGCCGATGCATGCTGGACTTCCCAACAATGTGCGATATGCTTGCTTGCCAACACTAGCTTGTTAAGATTTGACCACTGATAGGTTATAACTTGCATTTTGTGTGTTTATTTGGAAAATAATGTAATCACTACAACTTTAACTCTGTTACACAACAGATGAAACAAGTACAAATGGTTTTTCAAAATGTTCCTATCTAGGGGGCAGCTAGGTGGCTCAGTGGATAGAGCACCGGCCGTGAAATTAGGATAGACCTGAGTTCAAATATGGCCTCAGACCAAACACTTGACACTTACTAGCTATGTGACCTTGGGCAAGTCACTTAACCCAAATTGCCTTAAAAAAATGTTATCTTCTCTTCTTTCCTTATGTTTTTCAACTGCCCCCTTATTTTTCTTCAGTGCCCCTCAATTGCAGTCAAGGCTACTGCTGCCCCCCTGGATTATTCCAGTGCCTCTCAGGGGGCAGTATCGCCCTCTTTGGGAACCTCTGGATAATGTGTGTGTATATATCCTGATATACATGATATGTGTATAACCTGATATATCCTTAGCACTCAGCACAGTGTTCCTACATGCAGCTTGTTCTTAATAAATGTTTGCTAAATGACTGAATGAAATTAAAAAAGCCATGAATCAGAGTAAGACTTAGCAGCCTGAAAAAAGCCATGCTTAGAGATCTAGGCAAACCCTAAATCAAAGTAAGAGTGGCATGATAAGCCTCCACTCTAAAGTAAAGAATGGAAGATTGGAACAATTGTCCCACCTGCCATCCTTAGACACATCTGCTTAACAGAACCAGGTACAAGGTTATTCCTTTATCCCTCATTAAAAGAGAGAGGAATAGGCAAAAGGAAATAGACATCATCTATGGAAGGAAAAATGGAGGTTAGATGTTAAGATGGTCTTCATATGGATTGAGATGAAGAGACAGTGGAATGAGATCTTGAAAGAATTTGGTATATGAATAAGGAAAGTGGAGTGGAATAAAATCTTACTCTAAAGTAAAAAGATGGGTCTTTTACAAGTCCTCTAATCTATCTTTAAGGGCTCAATGTCCTTAATGGATCTGGAGTCTAGAGTCCTAGCTGTGTGACTGTGGGAATTCACTTAGTTATTCTGTGCTTCATTTTCCTCATTTCTGAAAATGGAGATAATTATGAATAAATGAAAAAGCATTTATTAAGCACTTATCATGTGCCAATCACTACACTAAGTGCTAAGTTACTTTCCTTCAGGGGTTGTTCTGAAGAAAGCATTTTGTAGAGCTTAAAACATTATGTAAACATAAGCTGTGATTTTTAAAAGTTGTTGCCAGTTCTGGGGTTCTCCCAACCCCAGAGAAAGCAGAAGAGACTCTGATAGGTTGTGTCATTAATCTACTGACATGTCTGGAATCCCAGACATCTCTAGTGTTATAGCTATTCTCCTGACTCTAGTCTTTCTCTCTTATCATCTCTAGTGAAACTGTTCCTCATGGGTATAGCATTGCTGAGCCCCTCCTCTCAGGCTTTTAATAGTGAGCTGGTGAAGTGCTTTGATGACCCCCAATATGAAGACCTGCTCAGACTATTGAGGGTTGGCCTGGGAGCACCCACTGAGAAGAAGAATGTGGTAGTGATTGGAGCTGGCATGGCTGGGCTTACTGCTGCCAAAGCCCTACAGGATGCTGGTCACCAGGTATAAGAGCTGAAGACGCCAGAATTCTGGGCCTAAAACTTCAGAGAGGAATGAGAAAGGGAAGGCAGTGGGAGGGAAGTAACATTATGCAGTTGTTTCAGTTACATCCGACTCTTGGTGACCCCATTTGGGGTTTTCTTAGCAAAGGTACTGGAGTGGTTTGCCATTTCCTTCTCCAACTCACTTTATAGATGAGGAGACTGAGGCAAACAGGGTTACGTGACTTGTCCACAGTCACATGGCTAGTAAGTATTTGAGGCCAGATTTGAACTCAGGAAGATGAGTCTTCCTGACTCCAGATGCTACTCTATCCACTGCACCACTTAGCTGTCCCAAGAACAGCAAAGAAATCAAGAAAATAGGAAGGAGAGTGGACTGGGTGGATGGCTAGATCCCTGAGTCTTTAATTCCAAACTTAGTAAGAGAGAGAGAGAGGTCTAAGCTGGAATGGAGCTAGTGCCTGTAACTGGGATCTGGGAAAAGGGAGGAGAGGCGTGATCAGGATGAGATCTAAGGGGTGTGGTACTTGTGTGGGGATAGGGCTTAAGGGGAAACCTGATTTCACTAAGACTGGGCATAGTATATCTTTCTAGGTTACTGTGCTAGAAGCCTCTGGGCGAGTAGGTGGGAGAATTGAGACTCATCGGGTGCCTGGAGCAGAGTGGTATGCTGAACTTGGTGCCATGCGGATCCCTGCCAACCACAGGTAAACAATTATTGTCATCGATTCCTAAATGGAAATTCTTCACCCATTCTATTCCCAGTCTCTCCTTTCGAATTCACCCTTTACACAGCTGCCAAACTTATAATTCTAAAACACAGATCTGACTCCCTATTACCTTTAAGATAAAATACAGATGCCTGTTTTGGCATTTAAAGCCCTGCATAATCTACTCCAACCTATCTCTTCAGGCTCATTATACATTACTCCCCCTCACTTCACTCTATTTTCCAGCCAAACTGACTGATCTGTTGTTCCATATATACAATATTCAGTCTTTCGTACAGTCTGTCCCTCATGCCTCTCCCTCCTCACCTCCCTTCTTGGAATCCTTAGTTCCCTTCAAAACTCAGCTCAAGTGCCACCTCCTTCAAAGAGCATTTCTTAATTTCTCCAGCTGTTAGTTAATCAGTCAGTCAACAAGAACTTATTAAGCACTTACTCTGTGCCAAACACGGAGGCAAAGAAAAGTCAAAAACAAAACCTGTCCTCCAGGAATTCACATTCTAATCAGGAAATAACTAACTATAGTATACACAGTTGTTGTTAGTGTTCTCTCCCCACCCCCACCCCCACCCCCACCCCCAAGTACAAATTGCTTCGTATTTACTTTGTGTCTATTTCACATTTGAAGAAATAGACAGGTGTCCATGGAGTGAGGAAGAATGGAACTCAAGTTCCGTTTCAGACAACATGCTAGGCACGAGTGTGAACAAGCTGCTTTATCCCTCAGTGCCTCAGGCACATCTTTAAAGCTGCAAATTGCAGAACTATTGCAGATCTGCATTCACAAAGGTAGTTTCCTCACCAAGAAATATCTACACCAATAAAATCACAGGTCCAAACAAAATATTTTGTATTTGTTAATCTGCACATACTGCTTCCCCCCCAATAGGACGTAAATAGGGAGTAGGATCATTTTTGTCTTCGTATTCCCTGCATATAGCCCAATGCCTAGTATCTAGGAGGCACTTAATAAATCCTTGTTGAACTGAAGATCCTTGAAATAACAAGGATAAGACCTGGAGTAGGGAGAGGAAGCTAGAAGAGACAGCTTAAGGATATTGACAGGAAAAAAAAATCAGAGAAGAAGATTTAAGGCCTGGACTACAGGTTTGTCTTTTGTTCTCAAAGAGGATCATGACCTCAGGGAGGTGATGCCATGAAATGCAAGTGAACTGAATTTAAGTGAGGCAGATCTGTGCAGAGTCACCTGGATCCAGTTGCAAGATATAGATCAGGATGACTGGAGATGGCCCTGGATGCAGCAAGAGACTTTGGCCTTTTAAAGCTAAGGTCTTTCACAGGTTTCAGTTTGACTGAGGCAATGCCCATTCAGTGATTAAGGTTAGGTAAGAAATGAGGCAGAGAAGAGTCTCTATTACCTAGTAAAAAAAAAAAATCAATCTAGGAGGGTAAGACCAAAACATAAACGACTGCTACTTATATTCACTACTGACTTGGTTATTAAGAACCTACTTGGCACTATGCTAAGTGCTTTACAAATATTATTTTATTTGAACAATTGCTCACCAACTACATGATATATTGGAAAAAGTCCTAGACCAAGAGCCAAGAGTATTCAAAAAGTATTCGAATGCTGGATCTGTCCTAATGCATAGTATGACCATGGCAAATCAAAACTTCCTGCCTCTGGGCCTCAATTTCCTCATCTATAAAATGAGGGGGTGGAATGAATGCTCTAAAATGCAATCCATACAATTCTAAAATTCTATTGTCAGTTCCAGTGAATGCAAAAATATAATATGGAAAGTCTAAAGTCTGCTCTAAGTAAAAGATGTCATCATTCAGTTCCCTGATGATAGGAATAAGAAAAAAATAAAAAGAAATGCTTGCAGTAAGGAAGACTGAGAGCTCTGAAAGACCTTTCTAATAACATGATAGATTCTTGGATGAGGAAAATGGAGGCTGGACAATCTGCCTTCCTAGAGAATTATCAGAAGATATGCCCTGATCTGTGTGGGCTAAGGTGGTAGATAGAGTACAGCTTCTGTATAGAAGCAGAGAAATGGAAAGTAAAACCTCCAAGTAAGAACATTTGATCCCCTGAAAAAGGAAAACTGAAAAATACTTCTCCAAACCAAATTGTCTCCAACACACACACACACACACACACACACACACACACACACACACACACACATATACACACACCCCATTTCTCTAAAGAAAACTGAATTTTTCTATTTAAAGTACAAAAAACTCAAATACATAAAACATAATCACATATACTAAATAAATAAAATTAAATAGGGTGACTGTCAAGTAGCCAGTTCTTCCCCAGCCATTCCTATCTTACCAGGAAGAAATGAAAAGTGAATTGGAGGTAGGAATAATAAGCAAAGGGAGCTATGGTGCATAGCATAAATTTTCTGCTTTCTTCCTGAATCTCTGACTTTCTTCATGAACTCCTCTGACCTGTGCTCCTACCAGGTTTACTCGTGAACTCATCAGTCAATTTGGATTGAAGCTGAATGAGTTCTCCAGATATGATGACCGAACGTGGGTCCTCATCAATGGAGTGCGTCGACGGACTGGGGAGATACAAGCCAATCCTGGCCTCCTTGGCTACCCTGTCCGGTCAGATGAAAAGGGGAAAACAGCTGACAAATTATTTGATGAATCCTTGAGGAAGGTAAGTCTTGGACAGCCAAGGTAGGACCTACCCTAAGCATACTAGGCAAATCCCCAGGAGGCCTAGCCGCTAAATCCCCAAACTCAGGCTATCGCTATTTCTGGAAGTTTGAACAGTGCAAGTTTTTCTCCCTCCCTGGATATCTTTCTGGTGAGAGTTTGCTATTCAGCATTTGTTCTATATGTCCATTGTTACACCTAGCAATAGACACAGTGAAGAGATATGAATTAATGAATGGGTGAGTGAATAAATGAAAGAAATTTTTAAAAAATATTTACTGCCAGGTATGATGGAACATACCTGTAATCCTTACTTTTGGGAGGTTGAGGCTGTTGAGCTTGGAAGTTCTGAGCTATAAGACTAAAGTTGGTTGGGTATCTATCCTGCGTCTGGCATCAATATCCAGAGTCTCTAGGAATGGGAGGCCACCAGACTGCTTACAGAGGGGTGAATTGGCAATAGATCAAAACTTCTGTACTGACAAGCAATGAGATCAGACAGTTAAGGGTTGCTTTACTTAATTAAGCTTGAGTGACATAGGGATACCTAGTCTCCAGAAAAACCCACTATGTGCTACGCATTAAGGATAAAATCTTTTTAAAAAATGTGGATTTCTTGCTTTCAGGGAACTTATACTGGAATTGAGAGAGATAGCATATATAAAGGTTTCAGCTTCTGGGCAGAAAGAAGTCCTGGAGGTCCTAAGGGTTCAGTAGCAAGACTCAGGAGAACTTAGGATGCATCAGTGTTGGCCCCACAATATGGGTGCATGGAGGGGAGTGGCCCACCATCAATGGGAAGGGGAAAGTATGCCTAAACATTTTTACTAGATATACAAGAATGCCTCACTCTCAGGGAATTTATAATCTATTATGAGAGAGAAAAGGCCCTTCCCCTTTTTCAGATTGTTTTCTCTCCATATCTAAATTTAGGGACAGTCCCTACCTAAATTTAGAGAGCTTCCTGGCTGATGTGGAAAACAGCCACAACCACTGGGGAGCTTCCAATCTAATTGGGAAGCAGGAAACACACAAGACACATGTAGCATCTCTTAATAATGCATCTATTCATGGTTTTACTGTTGATACTCTGTATAATTATTTATGCAACTCATGGCCCAAGAGTCCTCATAAAATCCACATTATTGTCAGACCATATATGACACATAAACCTAATATTCAAAGTGTTTAATTAAGACATGAAACACAATAAATAGCAAGTAAAGGAAATTTGGTTTTTAAAAAAAGGGTATTCTCTTTAGTAATACACAAATGGATTCAATCTCTTATACCTCTAGGGAAATTATTACCTAATTCCCCTTTAATTTCCCTGATTCCACATCACAACAGGAAAATTATACAGTTCAGAATGTACAGTCCCAGAGGCAGATATTTAGGATGCAGTGCCTTCTATCTCCTAGAATTTTGGTGGAAAATTTATAGGGGCAAGCTTGAGAATTTGATAAAACCTAGAGACTCTAGTATAATCAGGGTCCAGCTATGGCTCCTGATTTTGGGAACTTCATGTTCTAATGGACCTATGTGCTTCCCTTCTTTCTCTTTCTCCATCTGTAGCCCCACTACTTCCTTCACCCATGACTACTTATGTGGCCACCCAATAGTCCAACTTTTATAAACTCCTTCCTTGTAAAGTATTCCCTATCACTCAAAATCCTGATATTACCATACTACAACCAGCCCAAGGACAGTAGGAAATGAAGCCTTAATGTCACACCCAGTACCAGACTATGCAGAACCAATACACTGACAAAACAAGTCTATGAATGCTAAGGGAAGAGCTGGTGGGAATGAGGGTATGAGAAAATGAACAAAGAAGAAGATGGGAGTAAATCGTGAGAAAAGAAAGAATCCCCTTCTCAACATTTTTTCTCTTCCCCTTCTCTGCCCCAGGTGGTGGAAGAGTTGAAAAAGAACAACTGCAGCCAAATACTAGAAAAATACGATTCTTTCTCCACTAAGGTCAGTCTCTCAGTGCCACTTAGCCCCATTGGCCCTCCTACCTTCCCCTGACACCCACAAAAATTGAGAAGAGATTACAGTTAATCAGATTTATCAGACTAGCACGAATCCTTACTGAGGTGGGATAGAGGTTTTACCTCAAGAATTCAACAAAATAAACCTTATACATACAGCACTTTTAAGGTTTACAAAATGCTTTCCTTATGACAACCCAGTTAAGGAGCTTGCACAAGTATTTTTATCTCCATTTTACAGACTCTGAGAAGTCATATAACTTGCCCCCTGCTGCACAGCTATCCTAGTCACACAGTGTGTCAGAGCGGGGATTCAACTCCAAATCTCCTTTCTAAATTCAGATCCTTTTATCCTCCATCACCCTGCCTCTCTTCTGTGTGAGTGAAGAGACATTGGGATTCTGGAGTCATTACTCATCTGAAGTGTCCTAGCCTGACCTGGGCTGACCTGGATCAATCTATGCTACATGGATTCTGTGTCTTTCCAACTCAGACTCCTTTCCTCCTTGAGTGTCCTGCCTAGAATTAGAGAGATAGATATTGTAATCTCTCACAATGCAAAGATTTTCAACCTCTGATTTTCTTTTTTCCCCCCCTCTGCCATGGAAGGAATATCTGATTAAGGTGGGAAATCTGAGTCGGGGTGCAGTGCAGATGATTGGAGATCTCATGAACGCTGATGCTGGTTACTATGAAGCCTTCACTGAGACCTTAAGAGGAGTTATTTTCTTCTTCCAAAATCCTAGGTGAGGTTTGGGACAGGATGGGCTAGAGAGGTGGAGAGGGAGGAGAAGCAGGAGAAGCATGGGAGAACTGACCTTTCATTCACCTAAATGTAGACAGCCACAAAACTAGGTAAAATAACAAGGTTTAGAAGCTATCTATCAAGCAATGACTACATTAGGTAATAGGTCAAATGGTACCTGTGCAGCAGGACCTAATGTGACTCTGTCTGGACTTTGCCTGGGATGCTGCATGGAAGTCAGTATAGTGGAGTGGGGAGAGCACTGGACTTGGAGTCATGAGCCCAGGTCCAAATCCTAGCTTTGCCACTTGCTACCTTGTGACCTTGGGCAAGTCATTTCATTTCTATGGGTTTCAGTTTCCCCAACTGCAAAATGAGGATTAGATGCCCTCTACATTTCCTTCTAATTCTGAATCTGTCATTCTATATGATCCCATGATCTTGGAAGGACTCTGGCTATGTTTACTGCAAGGAGATGTTGCTCTCTCTGAGCAAGGGGAGAGAGAAAACAGGAAGAAGAAGAAGGCTTACCTGGCAGTGGGGAAAGGTGGTGTAAATGTACACATTGCAAGCTGGAGGAGATTTTAGTATGTGTGTTTTTGTTTCTGTTTTTGTTTTTGTTTTTAACTGTGCTCTGATGCCTGCTTTCCTGGCATGAAATTGTGGCTTCTAAAGGGCTATACCAATAGAGCTGAACCTTTAGCAGAGGATACCAAGCTGAAAAGTGTTTGGGTATTAGTCTCAGGACTGTTAATCTGTGGTCAGTGGACCAGCCTAGATAAGTACATAGAGGCTCATGATCATAAGGTTAGCCACCATGTAATGAATTATATAGCCACAGATACTGTTGTGATCTATGTTAGTGAGGGAGAATATGAAGTCACAAATCCCTAAAATGTCAAAGTTTGTTTTGGAAAAAAAACTGGCAAGGGCTATTCTTTCATCTCTTTCCATTTCATGCCCAGCTGTATATATCCTTCTGAATGGTAAAACTAAGGGCAACAGTGCTTAAAGCTTGAAAAATGTAGTATTAGGACACTATAAAAATATAAACAAGTTCAAAAGGAGTTAAGATAACCTGACTAAAGTCAGGACCCTAAATACAGCAATTCATCTACAATGGGTCATTAAAATCATGGAATGCTAGAGAGGAAAAGAACCATCTAATCCAACACACTGATTTGACAGATGAGAAAACAGTGGCCCAGAGAGACTGAGTGATTTGCTCAGGGTCATACAGAGTTGGTGAAGGAATTGGGACTAGAACTAGGTCTGTTGTTTCTCCTAATTATCTTTTCCACTACACTATTTTTCCTACATGTTTTGAGTAAAAAACTAGTTTTTGAGAAAGACGTCATGGAAGGCAGCTAGCAGGGTATAACAGATTAATCACTTGGTACCACTGCCAGAAATTGGAAACTGGATGAGGTAGACCTTTTAATGTAAATGCAGTTCCCGTTCCATATTAATCCATATCCATATCCATATCTATGACTATCAGCATAATTATTCACCAAAACTCTTCATCCATCCTGCATGGTGGGTGAATAGAATAAGGTGAAAATAACCCATTCTCCTGTGAATGACTCATAGAACATTCTTGCCTTTATACTTTCCTTCCTGTTAAAAAGTCTTGAAGACCAAACAGTCTTCCCAGTGCATACCAGGTAGGATAAAAGCATTAAGACCTAAACAGAATCTTAGAAATCATCTAGTCACAGCTTCATTTTTACAAATAAGGAAAGTAAGGCCCAACAGATCCTGTAAATTGTCCAAGTCTGCTATTTATCAGAATGGGGAAAATAGCAAAAGTAGAATTGGAACCAACATCACCAAACTCCAGATCCATTGCTCTTTCTACTAAACCTCACTGCTTCTAGATCAAGGGTTCTTAACCTGGAGCCTGTGAACTCTTAAAAATATATTTTAAGAAATGTATTTTAATATAGTTTTTCTTTGTAGGCCTATATATGCTATTTCATGCATTTAAAAACATCATTTTGAAAAGGAGTCCAGTACACAAAAGAGGTTAAGAACCCCTGTTCTAGACAAACTCAATTTCAACAGAAATGAAATTTAAACTCATGCCTTCATATCTCAGAGTGCAGACATATTTTCCCTATTTTTCCTTGTTTTCCAGATGTGGAAAAGGAGAACCTTATGTTGGGTGTCTTAGCTCAGTCAGTCATACTGGCACCCAAAATGCTGACAACCTCATGTCATCAGACCACAGAGTAGTAAAAGAGTAGCCAACCTGCAGGACTTAGGACTTCATGAAGAGCTTTATGTGCAAACTGATGCAGTGTAAAGGGAGGGAAATGTAATTTTTAATTGCATTCATACTATATATATATATATATATATATTCATACTATAATTACAAGTAACATTATATCCTTTGAAAGACCAAAAAACATATTGCTATATAGAGGTATATGAGGATACTAGTAATAAAGTCATTTTCATATCAAGATGGTTTAAGTATTGAGATCTTTAAAATAATATCATGACCATTTGTCAATTATTTTTATGAATTCATGCTCTAGGAAAACTAAGAAACTACCAGAGGGGCAAATTTCAACTGAATAAAAGGAACACTTTTTTTATAAGTAGAGTTGTTTTTAAAAATATAAAGGGTTTCCTTTCAATCTGGTGAATTCCCTGTCATTGTTAGTATTCACACAACATCTGGATAATAACCTGTTGAGACCATATAAAGGAGAATACTGCACTGTGTGGGAAGCTAATATCCAAAGTCCTTTACAATTCAAAATGTCTAAGAACTTGTAATTCTTATTCTATTAATTAAAATTCTTGTCTGCAATTTCTAATTGCATCAAAGTTTATGATCTAGTAAAAAAGACTGATGCATGTCACATGTATGATAATCTAGCAAGTAATCCACATTTTCTAATCCACAATTAATCCACAAAGTCTAAAATAAATCAGATAGTGGGCCCCAAAGAAATGGAAAATATTCCACCTTACCTTCCAATTTGATCTGCTCAATAGAGTGTTAAGGAGCTCAGTCTGCTTCCTCTCTCTTCTAATCCTGCTACAGGGCCTCTTGAAGAGGGAGTACCCTTGAGTTAGTGATTCCCAGTCCCAGTTTTGCAATATCCCCAATTATCAGAATAAAATACTGAATAAAATCAGTTTAAATCAACATTTTTAAAATGAGCCATGTATATCTACTGAGAAGCTGTGTAGAAAGGAAAAAGAACAAGGTAGTGATCCCTAACTAGTTGGTAGTGTATGTATGAGGACCTCAGATCTTTGTTACCATAAACTGGCAGGCTAACCTGGTACCAAAGCAGCACAGAACCCATGAATACACACACACACACACACACACACACACACACACACACACACACACACACACACACACACAAATACAGGACAGTACAGGACAATTGCCCCACTTTTCCATTTGCTAGGGACTGCCTTGTCAATTGCAAGACCCCCTCAGAAGACCTAGTGGAAGACTAAATCCATATCTGCCTCATCCTTTGCATAACCATCTCACCATGTTTCCTCCTTTTAGGTTTGAGGAAATTACTGGTGGCTTTGACCAGCTCCCAAAGGCCTTACATGACTCCCTCATCCCTGGCACTGTCCGCCTCTACTCACAAGCAGAGCAGGTAATAAGGGATGGAAACCATGTCCATATTGTCCATCAGACACCTGACCCACTTCGGCCTCACGCCCGCCTGACTGCCAACTATGCCATTGTGGCGACAACAGCTAAGGCTGCCCGGCTCCTCCACTTCCACCCACCTCTATCTCCAGGCAAAGATGATGCCCTGCGCTCAATCCACTACAACAGTGCCACCAAGGTGATCCTGGCCTGCACCAAGCGCTTCTGGGAACAGGATGGCATTTATGGTGGGAAATCCACAACAGACCGTCCCTCTCGATTTATCTACTACCCCAATCATGACTTTCCCAATGGAACTGGTGTCATCTTGGCCTCCTACACCCTGGATGATGACTCTACCTTCTTTGCTGCCATGGATCAAAAACAGGTAGTAGATGTAGTGTTAGAGGATTTGGCTGCTATCCATAATCGCCCCAAGGAAGAGCTTCAAGCCTTTTGTCCCTACTCTGTGGTCAAGCGTTGGAGCCAAGATCCCTACTCCATGGGCTGCTTTGCCTTCTTTACTCCCTACCAATATGTAGACTATTCCCAGGAGCTCTTCAAGCCTGAAGGGAGGATATACTTTGCAGGAGAGCACACCACCCTTCCTCATGGTTGGATTGACACGGCCATTAAATCTGGACTCCGGGCAGCCCAGAGTATTCAAGAAGCTGTGGGATTATTGAAACAGGACAAGGAAGCCAGGAAGGAGACTATGCCTAAGAGTGAGTTGTAACCAGTGAAAAAGCATTTTACATTGGTGAGATAGTGTAGTGTATTATAGTGAAAAGAACCTTGACTTGGAATCAAGAAAGACTCAGGTTTAAATCTTGCCTCTGGCACATATTAGCTATTTGACCAGAGGCAAGTCACTTAACTTCCTCAAAATTTCCTCACTTTTCTCATCTGTAAAATGGAAATAATAATACCTATTGGTTGGTACCAATCCCACAGGATTATAATGATGCTCACTTAAATCCAATTCATCTGCATGTCATGGCATCATCACCCTGATGTCATAGAACTCTTAGAGAACAAAGGACAAACAACAATGATGATGATGATGATGATCAAATGAAATGATGTCTACAAATGTGCTTCTGAAAATGTTAAAAGACGTTCCTGACCTGTCTACATGTTCTTGGCTGATTTCCTAGTCATGGCGATGGGTTGAAGAGACCGGCCTACAATTTGTCTCACCTTTGACACAATGATGCACATTTGTGAAATAGATGCCTGGATGATATCTTCAGCTAAGGAGTAAAGAACAGAGAAAAATCAGGTGGAGATCAAACCCCAAACCTTGCTCTAAAAAGCTCTGTGTTGTGACCAGCCAAGGTAATTAGCCCAGTAACTAGTCTTTTAATAAAGACATCACATTGTAGTTCATTAATCATATTTAAATGTCAGCTGGTACAAAATATGCATTCTAAGGGGACTAACTGACCTAATATTAGCATTTATTAACCAATAAACCACATTTACAATTAACACAATAAATCAGTAATCAAATTTAAATCTGTTCATTAGACAACATAATATGCATTCTAAAAACTAGGAGACTTTCTGTCTTTCTTGGAGTTATAAGCCTGCCTTTTCTTTAATATGGGTCTCACTGTAGTCACCCTGCCTCTCATCTTGATACTTCAGTAACTTTTCTTTCCCTGTTGAGGTCCTGAGAGATGGAGAAACAAATAGAATAAATAAGAATAGGCAGACAGTGATTTGGGAGATGGAGGCAACCTTAATGAATTGGAGTCATTCTTAGCAACCCAATTTTAATTGTATCATTAATCAGTCCCTCTGGAGACACAAAAAAGTGCACAAGAGGAAATAAGGAAGGATGGAATGTGGAGTGACCAGTAGTCTACTGGCCAGCTCAAAGAGGGCATTTCACAACTACAGTCTAAACCTCTGGATATGTTGACATAGGTGAACTCTGTCATTCTTTCTCCTACCTTTTGGGTCAGTGCTCAGGCATTTTCCACCATAGGTATACTCTCCTCCTCTAATCTGTTAAATCCTTTTAACCAGAAGTAGATGCTAGAGACCACAGTTTACAGCATTTAAGATATTACCGTCTCAAAGTGGCTGTTCTGTGCAGTACTTTTTCTTCTGTCAGTCTACTTATACCAACTTTTCTCCTTTCCCTCTCAGGGGAGAGCTGCACTTCATACTTACTTGAAAAAAATAAGATTAACCACGGGGGAGCTTCTTCTCTTTCCCAGTTTCACACTTCAAATCACCTCAATATCACCAGTCTCATCAGTTTCAGTAGTTTAGGTGGCCTTTCTCCTTGTCCTCTATTTATGCCCCTAATCATATCCCCTTCTGTCTCCTCTGTCAATTTGTCCCTTTGACCACCCCCTCCGTCTTCATAATTTTCAATCTCTCCCTCTCCTGCTGCTTAGATTTCCCTGTTCTTAGAAAATTTCACCCTGAGTTCCTTTCAGTTATCCTGTATCATTCCCTTTCTCAGGCAGACACCTAGAAAAAGCTTTCTATAGTCACTTCACCCCCAACTCACTTCACTTTTGCAGTGACTCCTGTCCCTGCTATTTAACTAAAGCTGCTCCTTTGAAGTTCACCAATGATGTTGCAATTGTGAAATACCTAGGGTACCCCCTTCTCACCTGTGGGGCCTACAAAACAGCTACACCAGGATAGTTGCTGTTGCTCAAAACCATAATTCCCTGTACCTCCAGAGAAGCCTTTAATTTTTTTTTCTCTAGTTAGCCAAGACATTATTACAAAGCAAAGGTTATCAAGTACCTTTAGAGGCAGCTGGATGGGGCAGTGACCTGGAATCAAGAAGACCTTAGTTGACATCAAAAAGTGGGCAAGTCATTTAACCTCTGCCTCAATTTCCTCATTAGTAAAATGAAGATAATAATATCATCTACCTCCAAGGGTTATTGTGAATATAAAATGAGATATTTGTAAGGCTCTTTGAAACCTTAAAGCATTAATAAATGTTACTTAATTTTAGTAGTATGGTTTAATATAATATTGTTGTATAATAATAATATAGTTGTATAGCATAGTTTAATATAGTATTATAATTATATAGTAAGAAAAATTACAATGAGACATTCTTCCTATAAATCCAGAGCATATTCTACCACAAATGCACATACCATCAGTGGGAAGAGTGGGTATACATAGGCATCATGTACTACGGGAACATACGTGCCTAAGAGTCACATGTAGAAGGAAAATTCACACGTCTTTATGCTGTAAGACTACTAATATCTTCTTTCTGCCCTCACTGGATTTGCTCCCATTAGACATGGTATCCCCATTGGGCATACTGCTAGTTACTTGGTGACAATCTTTGCTGGATTTCATCTCTTCAGGACCATTTTTAGATTATTTCAGCTCCACTCTGCTAGTGTAGGTATCTAGAACCTCTTCTTGTTAAGAGCAGATTGACCTCTCCTTGGTGATAGCCAACACACCCAGCTAACAAAAGCTAGTCTGTGTGACTCTGGGTTGCAGTTCAGTCTTTTTTTTTTCTTTTTTACCACTAGGTCTGGACTGAAATGAAACCCATCTGTTATAGATAATTATCTGTCAGCAGCAAAGCCATGTTGCTTTGGTACTGTATTTTAGCCAGGAAAAAACAAAAACAAAAACCAAAGACTATCTCTCTAAATTGCCTTTCTTACTATCTCCAATGATTAGCACAGTAAGCCCTTAATTAATGCCTATTGACGGACTGACTAAATTTGCTAAGTCCAATGTAATTTTCCTAATCTTTATCCTTTATAATCTCTGTAGCATTTGGTACTATTGATATACACACAACCCTCTTCCCTCCTTCCCATTTTCCATTCTGAATATTCTCTGAGTTTTTGGTAACTATGCTGTTATGGTTTTCTTCCTTACCTTTCATTTTCCATTATCTTTTGATAAATTGCCCATGTCTTGCCTACTATGTATGTATGTATGTATCCCAGGACTCTGTCCTCTCTGTCTCTCTCATCTTCCCTCTCTACTTTGTTTCTTGGCAGTCTCATCAGCTCCCATGATCTATCATCTCCATATAGTTAACTCCCAGATTACATATCTAGCCTGACTATATAGGTATCGCAACTCCACAACCCTTCAAGGCTCTAACCTCAGTCCTTTTCTCTTTCCTCTTTACATTCTCCCCTGGCAATCTCATTTACAGTATTTCCAAATGGTCCCCAAACCTCCATCTTCAATCTTTCTGTGAGTTTCTGATGAGCATTTCCATTTGCCTGATAAACATTTAGCACTTCAAACTCAACATTTTCAAAATTGAACTTATCTTTTCCCCTAGTTATACGCCTCCTGATGTCCCTGTTTCTATTAATGGAACCACCTTTTTTCTAATCTCCTATTACCTATAATTCTCACCTGCCATATCTCATCAATTGTCAAGCTTTATCCCTTCAACCTCAAAAATATTTTTAATACTCAATCTTCTTTACCATTTCCACGTCTATCACTCTAATTCAGGCCTCCCAGTTTATTAAAATAGCCTCTGCTCCCTCTAATTTCTACTTACTGGAATCCATCCTTCGGATCACTTCCAGGTTAATCGTTCTAAAGTACCACTCTGATCAGCAGTCCACTGCTGAAAAACTATCGATGGCTCCCCACTGCCAAATGAATAAAGTCCAAACTGCTTAGTTTGGCATTCAAGTCCCTTCACATTTAGGGTTTGAATGTCTAACCTTTTGGCTTCAGATCACCCTTCTGTAGTTTGCTATTTGCCTTTTCTGTAACACTTGCTCTCGCTCAGATTTTGCTCGGTGGCAGAGAGCATAGAGTGCTAGATTAGTAGCCAAAAGCCGGCCCCATCACTGACTTCGTGACCTTGGGCAACTAACCTCACTGCTCTGCGTCTCAGTTGCCTCATCTATAGAATGGGGAGGTTATTGGGGGTCTGGGGAGAGATCATAATTCCAAAACTGGAAGGGATTTTTAGGGATTATCTAATCCGGGGGTGGGGAACCTGCAGCCTCGAGGGCACATGCGGCCCTCGGGGTCCTCAAGTGCGGCACTTTGAAAGTTTGGAGCTCACGGTGTGTGTGGGGGGGGAAGGAGAGACCTCTTGCAGACAACTTTGTACACCCACGGCATCTGCGGAAAAATCGGAAGCAATCTCACTAGGAGACGCTGACATTAAGGAGTCCCTTAGGGCTGCCCAGACGCGGGCTGCCCGCGGCCGCGGCTGAGTGCGCGGGGCTCGGCGTCCTCCGCTCCCACGGCCTCAGCCCTCGCTTCCGGCCGTTCCCGGACACGGAGGCCACCCCCACCCCCACCCCCGCGGCCGTTTCTCTCCACTCTGCCTCCAGCTCACCCCCGACTGAGAGCCCAGGAAAAAGGGACGAGGAAAATGGGGGCATGGGGGTGGGGGGTTCGTGATGGGAGAGCCCGGAAGGAGCGCCGGCTGAAACACAAGCAGGCCAAAAGCCAGGCTTGTGGAGACGCACGCGCCCCACAGACATGCAAAAGGCAGGTTCCTATTGTTGATTATGGCTTTTAATTTAAAAAAAAACCAACAAAACTTTGTATATGATATTTACGTATCACTGGTAGAAGTCGAGGTGAGGTGGGAGGGAAAAAAAAGTAATGTGTCAGAAGTGGGATTTGAACCCACGCCTCCATACGGAGACCAGAACACTCCGTTAGAGAAGGAGAACCCTTGAGTCTGGCGCCTTAGACCACTCGGCCATCCTGACACTCGTAAGCTAGCTTGCTAAA